AAAAAAAAAAAAAAACATCTTTTAACTTTTTCTTAGTTTTTTTTAGTTATTTATCTTAAAGTATAGAAAAAAAAAGAAGACTTTTCTGCTTTTACTTATTTATTTATTTTTTCTGGTTCAATATTATTTGATTATCGTTTAAAAAAACAGAAAAACACCAACAATAACAATGAAAGATCAACGAAAAAAGAACTGCAATTTAATGACAGTTAACATTTGAAAAATCAACGAACAAAAACTGCATTAACATCAGCGTTTGATGAATGCAAAAAGCATAGACTACGCTAATATTTAAATGCTGTTAGCGCCGGTTACCAAAAACCGGTATCAAAACGAAACGACAAGCGAGTAAGGAACACTTTGTTAAAATCAGTTCAATAACAACGAATCGGCTGATTCTTAAAACAATGTTCGGTTTCTTTTATTTTTAAGCTAATGGGGAGAAGAGGAAGTGTTTGATCAAGCAGAATATAGAACTAAATCGGTGAATTGAAAAAGGTAAAATTTACTGAAAAAATGACCTGTTCGTCAAGAACTGGCCGAATTAAATAGAGTAGGCGTTTATGTTTGTGGAATAACAGAATCTGCAGATTTACGGCAGCTTCTAATCGTAAAAAGTTATTTCTTTAATTTTAAAACTACAACTTCTTTATTTCTGATTCTTAACAAAATAACACTTCTGCATGTTTCAACAACTGTTAACATTTTAACAATATAATATAGGAATAGAAATCAAAAATAGTAATGTAGCTTTTTTTCTTTGATTATTTAAGCTGCCAAAAAATAGCACATAAATAATTAAATCAATAAACATAGAAAAAAATACAGCTAATGCTGTTCATAAAATAAAGTAAAGAAAAAAAAAAGAGAAAACTGTTATTGTTTGATAGGTTTGATAGGTTTTAACGGTGTGTAATTCTGATATACACACAACGAACAGTATATTATTGCTTCTTAAAAACACTGAACTGCAGATTCAAAAATAAAAATAAAAAAATAGATTGAGAAGAAAAAAAAGTTGGCGAAACTGAAAAAAAAAAAAACAAAACAGCAAAATTAACTCCACTATAAAACGGAAACAATTTGTTTCTCTTTATTCTTTCTTCTTTTCTTTTTTTTGTAATAGTAATCAACAAAATGTTTATTTGTAATAACGGGCAGTAAACAGCAATAAAGTAATAGTTTTTTCCCTCCTCTGTGATAAATTATATTATATACTTTATTTTAGAGAACTGCCCATTAAACAAAACAAAAAAAAAACCTATTTTGATTGCCGACCATTAATTTTTGTCGGTACCAAGATGGTTTTAATGTAGATAAAGAAAACTTCTCTTTTTTTTTCGTAAATGAATATGGCTTTACGTGGACGGCTGTCGACAACTATGTTTGTCGAAAAACAAACTAGAATAACAGTAATTTTAGACGAAAGAATACAAAAAACAACACAGAAGATTAAACATATGATAAAACCGATACAAACGGTTTATTGTTGTTGAAATTTTGGCTGCTGAAGTTGACGACAATGATGGAGAGCAGTGTTGAAAGACAGAAACTAAAACCTATGGCGAAACAGAAGACAAATGATGACTGTATTCAGAGACTTCACAGCTTATCCTCAGCTGGAATAGGTGAAGAATGGATGGAGCTGAAGAGAAGAGGGATTGAGAAACCGGATGAAGTGGATTTGCTTGCAAAACAAGTAGTTCTCCATCAGAAGAACAGTTATCATAACAGATGAAAAATCTTCAACACATTCAGATGCCATCCAAAAAACACCAGTTTTGTTACTTAGTCTAATTAAAGTTCTTAGTTTTTTTTTTTTTTATTTTTTGCACTTTTTCACTTCATCAGCTATTTGACCAAAAAATATTGTACACAAAAAAATGTTATGCCAAATTTTTTTACTTCTCTTTCTTTCCTTTTCTTTTCTTCTTTTTTCCGACTAATGATACGTAAATGATCAGATACACACACAGACAGCAGCAACACAGCAATTTACAGAACAGTTCTATTTATTACCTTACTTTTATCGGTTTAAAAATTCATTATTGCCTTATTTTATTACCTGATAGTAGTTTCTTTAGCAACTAATAATCAGCGGTTATAATTATCAAATATGGTTTAAATAAGTGCGGCAGTAAACAGTTAATAATAGTGATGATAATGATATAACAAAAACTGAACAAAAACGAAACCGAGGAAGCATTTGAGGAATAAAACAAAACATAGCGTACAGATTTCGAGCAAAAATGAACAAATAAACGAAAATAAAAATGAAACACGAGTAACACTTATTATATCGTGCGTTGTAAAAGTTATTTCCTTAAAGTTTATCTATCATTATAATAATCAAAAAAAAAAGCAAAGAAAAAAACATACAATAAGTTGAATAAAATAAAATTCTAACCTGGTATTAGCGTTTTTTGCCCTTTTTTTGTTATTCAAATTTTTAGCAATAAAATCTTTAATTGTTCAGTAACAGTTTTAAATATTTTTTTGTCCTGGATGTAATACATAAACACACCACAATCAGTCCAGTCGTTCAATCAGACAGTTTATTAGCGGAAGTTGAAGTTGAAGTTACAGAAGATTGAGTAATAATTTTGTTGCTTTTCGTTTTTTTTTTCTTTTTCTCGTGAATGAATCAAACAGAGGCCGTATTTTTCACCTCGATTTTCCTTTCTTCTTTTTTTCTTTCTTTTTTTTTTCCACAAAAAACAAGTTGAATATAGTTTGTTTTTTGTCTTTCGCTTTTTTCCTTTTTTATTTTTTATTTTTTTATTTTTATTTGGCTATTTAAACTACAGAAAATGTCACTAGCAGAAATAATACAGATGAAAAAAAAAAAAAAAGAAAAAAAAAATTAAAAACTAAATTTTCGGCGAAATAAGGCAAAATGCAGCTGACAACAGGTCGTATTCGGTTGATGTATTTGAAACAAATACGAGAAGACGGATATATGAAGAAGTAACGGGCGAGACCCGAGTGGAATGTTGAAAGCGTTTGGTGGCAATGTTGGTAATGTTGGGTGCCGACTTGCTGGCCGACTGCTGTTGTTCAGTAACCTCGACAATCCGAGGCTGCCAAAAAGCTCGGGAAACCTTTTGTCGAAGCAGTTGGTTAGGCAAAAATAAGCTGCACAATCTGATGTGTATGTGTGTGTGTGTGTGTGAGTCTGTGTTTGTATGTGTGTATATGTGAGTGTGTGTTAATAAATTCTTCTTACACTAAGATACATATCCTTTAAGAAATAATCCACAAAAAAATTTTTTGTTTTCAAGAAATTTTAGCTTTTCTAAAACACCTTTTTGCTAAAAATTCCAATCAAAAAGAAAAAAAAAAAAAGAAAAAAAAAATCAGATTCTTTTTTTCGTTGCTGTTGTTGTTGTTGTTATCTTTATTGCTGCTATTGCTGCTGCTTAGACAGCAAAACAAAATATATCCTAAGCTGTAGCTGATATCTGATGTGCTTTTCATCTGCTGCTTACTAATCCTCTGCTGCTGCACCTTTTGATCGTTCAAATGTTTCGTCGTCTTCTTGCAGTTGCTTCAGCTGTTTTGCTGATATCAGTGTCGGTGTTGGTGTTGGCGTCGGTGCTGATGCTGTTGTTATTATTATTGATGTCGTAGCTAATAATTTGCAAAACATCTTCAATATTAATCTTTCTTCTCGTTTTTTCTTTCTCAACTTTTCTTTATTATGTTCTTATGTATCTGTTAACAATTTTTTTTTTGCCACTTATGTTTTAGTCTTTAATTTTTTGTTTTTGTTGTTGTTGTTATCATTTTTTGCTTCTTTTTTCTTTTTTTGTCGAGTACGTTTTCAGGCACAACTAACGAAAGCAGAAAAAAAAAAAACCAAAGAGAAAAAACTAAAAGTGAATTTCAATAACAGATATTTATCACACCGATTTTACCAATGTGCACTTTCCATATGCTCTAAAAATATTAGCATTTTTTTCTCCTCGGATTTTTTTTTTTACGTTAGCTGTATCGTCATCATTGATTTTACGACTATATACTATAAAGACGTCAGTACCAGCTGTTGACAAATAAATAACATCGAAGTTTGTTAATTGCTATCGGTTTTATCAGAACTCTATGTTACAGCAAAAATATTATTCAACAAACCTTTCAACGTAGTACTGCAAAGGCGCAGCTACTTGCACTTCAACAGTTCGGTTTCTGATAGCATAACCTCTTCCGCAAAAATTAAGATTAGTTTTCGAAATTTATATCAGCAAACCAAAGAATGGAGTTGATAATGACGTTCACTTGCCTGTTATTGCCGACGACGATGTTGCAAGACGAAAAAACAAAAACTGTTTATGAACACCCGTTTTCCAACATCTGATTTATTCTACATTACATTCAGCAATAGCCATCCCAACTCAAGAGAAATTTTATTGTTTGAGGAAAAACTTTTGTTTTCACTTTGTGAAATAAGCACAAAAATAAATTCTGAATTTAAGCTTTCACTGAAAAAAAGAAAATGAAAGTTTCAGTCAGAAAAAAAGCACAGAAAAATATTTTCAAACTGCTGCAAATAGTAACTGTGTGGAATAGAAAAAAAAATTTTGGTAATTCAGACTGTCCAAAATAGCAACTTTTTTTTAGTTATTCGAAAAAAAAAACAAAGAATCAAGACTGCAATGTTATGGTTGATAGATATCCAAAAAAAAACCACTAAAATTGTTCTTTCTTGTACAAAAATTATTTTTTCAAACTAATTTTTGAACTTTATGTAATCGTAGTGTCAAATATCTCCATCTTAAATGTGTTTTATTCAAAACGAATTTAATTTCGATGAGTATTTTTAAGTCTTCAGCAACCTTTTCTTCACTGATTAGTTTTTGATTATTATTATTACTTTTCTTTAATGCTCATTATTTATCACATTATTTATCATTTGTGGTTTAAATTTGTGTAATTAAAAATAAACAAAAACAAATAAATAAACAAAAAAAAGCTTCTTTTCCTGTTTTTTTTCGTTAGTTAATGTTCAACTGTTCAGATGTGATACAACTGATAGCAGAGGATGTTCCCCTTAGCACTTCACCAATCCAATCCATCGCAATATTGTAACAAACAAACACCAAAACACAGACATTCACAGACCTTTATACTATATATATATATATATATATATATATATATAT